AGATGGTGAAAAAGGCAAGTGAATAGTAGAAGGAAATACTGAGCTGGAAATTGGCAAATAAAAAGTTCACAAAAATTTATAGATGATAACAACAGGCATAACCATCGATCGATTGAGAATTCTGGGAAAGTATTACTATAATGATACTTCTCGCAACACAACCATCATGAAAATTACGAAAGGAAAGATAAAAAGTGTACACAAGAGGAATTACCATTTAAGGAAATAAAGAAATTGTACAGAATGTATAAGTTGAAATTTCAGGTTGGCAGCATCCTGAGATGCAGAAGGCAAGATTTTTATAATAAGAGAATTGAATGAAGGCATTTCAAGTAATCGTTAAGTTATATTCGTACTATTGGGTTTCAAAATGCAATAACGAATATTGATTTACCTGGCGAAGATGATATCAGTACTCAAGTCTGAATTCACATTGATGCTAACCATCTAAGTTTTAATTAAAATATGCTACTAAATCTTGAACTCCGGCATGCAAATTTCATATTATCATTCGGTTACTCCTTATGTTTCCCTGCTATCCTCCATGAAAAAAAAAAAAAACATGAGGAGTAACGCAAATACTTATGCTTAGCTTCCAGATCTCCTAGGAGTATGCTAAAACGTAGCAAAGCTGGCAAAGCTTACAACAATAAATCACTCCATGTTTTGAAAACTGAACTCAGTGTAAATGAGAAGAATGAGACACGTGGTCCTGGACGGAATGAAAGTCTCATGCTTCGTCAGAAGAACTGCATTCCAACTATGTTATTAAAAAATAAAACTCCACATGGAAAACTTTAATCAATCAGGAAGGCTAAAGTTTCTAAAATTTCTTCGTCAGGTATGGAAAATAAAGAATTTTAATTACCACAAAGGTAGGGAAGGCGCAAAAATTATTTCTGAGAAAGAATTGAAAAAGTGAACAAAAGGCACTTCAGATCTTAAGAGGAACAGAAGTAAGTAAAACGTTAAGAATGAAATATAAATAATTACAACCAATTTAAGTGGATCATCATCGAATAAAATGATTGCAAACCAATAAGTGATATTCAAAGCAGCTTTCTGAAGTGACAACAATACAACACAAAAATCAAAAAAAGGAAAAAACCAAAAAGGTAGGACTTGGATTTAATAAAATATTAAAATTTGATCAGAAACAGAACTTTTAAAATTTCAGAAGGATAATGGGGTAAATGTTCTTAGGAAATGGAATATCCTGATAAAAATGAAATATTCAGATTACATAATTTTCTTCTACAAAAAAAAAAAAAAATTGAAATAAAGTGGACAAGGATTTCATAAAAAGGTGTTAGAAGTGGAAAATTAATCAGTCCTAAAGCAAGTAGCATGAACAGGGAAGTCAAGAAAATCTGAATCTCGTAAAATTTCGAGAAATTTTAGGAAATTAGTTTCCTTCATAGCCCACTTAAATACAGGATACCTTTAAAACAAACAAACAAACAAATAACGTTAAAAATCAACATCAGAGTCGAGAGATTCAAAACAAAAACGCTTATTTACATAAAAAGCAAAATTGCTGGCCAGCAATGAATAGAACAAAACACTCCAAATCTGCGAAAAAAAAGTTTTACACTAAACAAACCTTATATCCGTTGTTTTCCCAACAACTTAAATTCTTACAACCGTAACCATAGCCAATTTTTAAACAATCAGCAATATACGGATAATTTATGAATTATTTGGGCTAAATGTGCCACTATTAGCGCTACCGTATCGACAAGTATTAAGCAGAAACTCTCCAATTTGTTCAAGATGGGACGCAGCTTTAGTAAGCGATGCTATACTATCCACGATTTTCGATTCACGTGCCAGCTGCTGCTCGAAAAGAAGCTCGGCACGACGCTGAAGCTCCTCTTGTCGCTGAAACACGAAAGCAAATGCACTTTAGATATTGTCGAAAATAACAATGAGCAAAAGATGAATAAAGTGATCGCTCAAATGACTATTATAAAAAACTTATACGACCTTGACACATTTGATATGCACTGATAATAAACTACGAACAAACAACGAAGGCCGTTAAAAAGATGAAATAAAAGAGAAAAAACTTAAAAAAGAAGAAAAATTTATCTCCTAAAAAGGTGAAATCCTAATTTTCATACTTATCCCCATAGTTCTTAAGATAAGACAAACGAAATATCAAAATCTCAAAAAGTTCATAGATTTGGATCCAGGAAATCAGTGACAAATCAAGTAATATGCATCCAATGAAAAATTAGCAGTCAAATGAGTGAGTTAGCAAAGAAAATTAGCCGAATGAAATGAATGGCTCCATGTTTTCAGTGGCAATGCTGC